TTCTATGAGAAGATTAGTCCTAGGAAAGGAACTCATTCAAAAGGGAGTTGTTCAACGCATTGGAGCAACAATGTTTACAACAACCCACCAAACATTATTATTACTTTCATTAATAACACCTTATCTTCATCATTATCTTTCACCAAATGTTATCATTTCTGGAAGAATTTTGGATGGAATTGAAGATTTAATGAAAGCACAATGTACCGACATAAGAAATGCAGTAACTATTATTGTCAAAAATAGAGTTGCTTATTATCTTCAAGTTCTAGAACAAAGTAAATCATCAACACAAAATGTTTCTGCTACTCCACAAAAATTTACTATTTTCGGTAGAAATAAACAACTTAATACTCCAGTGACTAGTCCATCCCAATTCAATGCTCTTGATCTAAAGAATTTACTTAATAAAATTATGGGAGAGATCGTTGCTTTAAACGCATTACTAAAAAAAAATCTCAGAAGCATTGATTATAAATATTGTATGTTTGAAGAGTCAAGACATCTTAACTCACTAAGAGAGGAGTTTGATAAACGGTCCACAGAAGAAAATTTGAAAAACCAAGTCAGTAACGATCTTCACCAAATTTCTGTTGCTATTCATGAAGGTCTAAAGAACAACACTACAATCAATTTTGATAGAACAGAAACACCACTTATTATGAACGAAGAAAAATACAGCACAGATAGTGATGGTGATTTGGAAATATTCAGAAAAAGTTTAGATCTTTCTAGAGAGCCAAACCAACAAGAAGTTCCTTTAACTACTCAAAGTTTTGATATTACTAGAACACAATCTACAACGATTGTTAAATCTCCTCAGAGTGTTGATAATTGACCATTTGGTTGTTGTTTGAATAAGTTTAATTTAAAGTTTATAAACAAAATATCACAATAAACACCACTTTCATTTATTCTACTCCGAACTCTTTTAACATTTTACTACTTCTTCTATTCTTATTCTTTCTTTTGCTTCTTGTTTCCATGTTTTTTCAATAATTTCTTTAATATCTTCTTTAACTTCTTGTATTATTGTTGGTCGTTTACCTGACATGATTGAATCTGCAATATCCCATGGATGTGGATATGATGTTTTAGGGAATGGATCTTCCCATGTAATGATTTGTAATATTGTTATTGAATATGAATATATATCTGATGCCATTTTGTAATGTTCTCGATTTAATACTTCAGGTGCCATGTATTTTGGTGTTCCTATCCCTTTTGTGAATGTCATATTTGTCATCATCATATTAATGTTTCTTGAACTTCCAAAATCTGTTAATTTACAATTAACTCCAATATTATCATCAAGTGTTATAACAAGAAAATTATCTGGTTTAATATCTCGATGTAGTATTCCATTTGAATGAAGATATGAAATTCCTTTTGCTCCATCTAGCATGAATTTAATTTTTATTTTATTTGGTATTTCCGTGTTTGTTCTTTTATTAATTAAATCTTGTATTGATCCATATTTTGCATATTCTGTTATCATACATATTTTATTAGGAATAAATACTGCTCCATAAAAATGAATAATATATTCACTTCGAATTTTATCTAACATCATTACTTCTTTCTCAAATTCTTTCATTTTATTTTCATTTTCTTCAATTTGTTTCATTTTCTTAATTGCTACTTGATTTCCTCTAAATTCTCCTATATATACAATTCCAAATGATCCTTCTCCTATTTTATTTTCTTCTTTTATTTCATCGGGATCAAGTCGTGTTGATATTTGTGTTTCTCCTTTAATTGAAATACTTTTAATTATTTCTTCTTGTGTTTTATTAAGTGTTTTACTAATTATCATTATTTGTTCTTTAATTTTAGTAGTACATTTGATTGTAATGAATATTTCAAATTCACATGCATATCCTCCTTCAATTGTAATAATATTTGGGTTTGTTCTAATTGAATATTTTTCATTTTCTTCTTTACTACTTATTTGTATTTTCTTTTTTTCTTTATTTTCATTTCCAATACATATTAATTCTCTGATTTCTTTATTTACTTCAATTTCTTCTCCTTCTCCTATTTCTATTTCTTTTTTATTTGTTATTATTCCATCTCCAAGTGATATAAATTTGATATTTGATTGTGAAATTTTAAATATTGTTGTTGTTTTCTCTTGTTCTTTCTTTTC